ATCTGTTAATAATGCCTTATATATTTCAGTGCTCCTTTGTTAGGTACATATATATTAATAAATATTATGTCTTCTTGATGGATTGTCCTCTTTATCACTATATAATATCCATTTTTGTCTCCTGTTATCTTCTTTGGCTTGAAGTCTATATTGTGTGATATAAATATGGCTACATCTGCTTTCTTTTTGTTGTCATTTGGTTGAAGTATCATCTTCCATCTCTTCTCTTTGAGCCTATGTTTGTCTTTAGAGCTGAGATGGGTCTCCTGGAGGCAGCATATTGTTGGGTCTTGATTTGTAATTCATCCAATCACTCTGTGTCTTTTGATTGGTGAATTCAATCCATTTACATTTAGGGTGATTACTGATATTTCAGGACTTAATACTGCCATTTTATCTTGTGTTTTCCAGTTGTCCTATATTTCCATTGTTTATTTTTCCTTGTACTCTGTCTGCCACTTCAGTTTGGTGGTTTTCAGTTTCCTATTTACGTCTTGTAAATCTGCTGTGAATTTTTGTTTTGTGATTAGCATGAGGTTTGTATAAAAGATCTCATAGATAAGACAGTCCTTTTTCTGCTGACAGCCTCTTACCTTCATTTGCCTATGCAGGTTCTGTCCTTTTCCCCTTCCCTTTCTATGTTTTTGTTGTCAGAAATTATCCCTTTTGGTATTGCGAGTTTGTTACCAAATTGAACTGGTTATAGTTATTTTTAATGTTTCCTTTCCTTTTAATTTTTAATATACAATTAAGTGTATACTATCCTATTCTGATACAGATTTTCAATTTTCTGATTCTGTCTATCTATCACCTTGCTCAAAGCTTTATATACCTTTGCCTTTTCATTTCAGGTAGGAGAGCTCCTTATAACATTTCTTGTAAGGCAGGTCTAGTGGTGATGAACTCCCCCAGCTTTTGTATGTCAGGAAAGCCTTTATTTATCGTTCATATCTGAAAGATAACTTTGCTGGATAGAGTATTCTTGGCTGACAGCTTTTATCTTTCAGTATTTTGAATATTTCTTTCCACCCTCTCCTGGCCTGTAGGGTTTCTGTTGAGAAATCTGCTGATAGCCTAATGGGGATGCCCTTAAAATTTATTTTCTTTTTCTTGCTGGCTGCTTTTAAGATTCTTTCTTTGTCATTGTATTTTGACAGTTTTATTATCATGTGCCTTGAAGAAGGTCTTTTTGCGTTGAGATAATTGAGTGTTCTATTAGCTTCATGGAGTTGTATATCTAGTTCCTTCCCCAGTTTTGGGAAATTCTCAACTATCATTTCTTTAAACAAGCCCTCTGCTCCCTTCTCTCTCTCTTCTTCTGGGATACCCATTACTCTTATATCGCCCTTTCTAATGGAATTGGATAATTTTCATAGAATTTAAATTTTTTTTTTTTGCAGGGGAAGACTCGCCCTATGCTAACATCTGTGCCAATCTTCCTCCTTTTTTCTTCCCCTCAAAGCCCCAGTACATAGTGGTGTATAGTTGTAGGTTCTCCTATTTCTTCTATGTGAACCACCGCCACAGCATGGCTACTGACAGACAGGTGGTGTGGTTCTGTGCCCGGGAACTGAACCTGGGCCGCCGAAGTGGAGCGCGTGGAACTTTAACTGCTAGGTCATCATGGCTGGCTCAGAATTTAATTTTTTTAAAGTCTTAGTTCTCTCTCCTCTTCTATCTGCATCATTTCTAGGTTTCTATCTTTGGGCTTGCTAATTCTCTTCCATCTGCTCTGCTCTATTTCCAATGCTTTCTAATTATTTCTTCATCTTATTTACTGAGTTCTTTAGCTCCAGAATTTCTATTTAGTTCTTTTTTGGAATTTGAACCTCTTTGGTAAAGTGATCATTCTGTTCATTGATTTTATTCCTGAGCTCACTGAACCACCTTTCTGAGTTTTCTTGTAGCTCACTGTCATTTCTTCATGACAACTATTTTGAACTCTTTACCAGTTAGATCCAAATCTTCTAAGACTTTATGTTTGGTTTCTGGAGAGTTGTTTTCATTTTGTAATGCCATGGTACCATGGCTTTTTGTGTTGCTTGTTGAGCTATATCTGCTGGCACATTTCTTGTCACAAACACATTTTTTATTTAAGTATAGGTTTGTTTTGATTCAAACTTTTCAATTGCTTGGAGATTAGAAGCCTTTCTTTTGTTTTTCAGTAGGTGGCGCTATAGCACTAGTTTTGGTTTCTCTTTTCCTGGGCTGCTTCTGGCTATATTTGAGGATCTGCAGCATTCCACTCTCCACCACCTCTATTTTGGGCGTTGCCTGCATTCTCAGCATGGCTGCCTGCACTTCTGGGCGTCAATGATGCATTGCTATTGCTGGTGTTGCTGTGGTTGCTGGCTTTGCTTTGCTACCAGGGGCACAGGGATGGCTGATGCCTCAGCTGCCTTAGAGATTACCTGAGTGGGAAGCTCCCCCTGCTGTGGTGGTGGAGGGAGTGGGTAGGGTGCCGGGTATGTGAGGCACCATTTCAGCTGTCATCTATTACTTTGTGGCCACAGGCACCCCTGCCATTGGGATGTAGGATTCCTGTGTGCACCTCTTGCCACTGCTACCAGGCTCCGGAGCCACCGCCAGGGGGCTGGGATCATGGGGCTCTGTGATGGTACTCTGCCTCTGCTGCTATTCTTCTTCCCATGGCCGCAGATGTCGCTGTGGCTGGCTGGCTGGAGTGGCACATGCGCCTCTGCTGCTGCTCGCCAAGTTCTTGAGGGCTGGGGATGGCTGGCTCAGCCGCTGCAGCTGGGAATCCAGGATCCTGGGCTCTGTCTCTGCTGTTCCCCCGTTTAGCCTCCTCTATGTGCTCCAATTCACTCATCTTTGTATGTACTGTTGTGTGGATCTTTCCAGTGTCCTGGTGTGTTGTACGATGTAGCCTTTGTTGGGTTATGGATGTTTTACTAAAAAGTTTCTCAAAGATATCCATGGTTTCTGCACATGATGTTTAGCACGTGAATAAAATGCTCTTTCATACCTACTTTTTATAACTCATATATACCCTTCACATTTCACCTTAAATTTCACTTTCCTAGAGAGTTCTTCCCTGCTTCCCTAATGTGCATTCACAGCACCTTATTCTTATTTTGTATAATAAACATCTCAATTTGCAACTTATTAGTATATTTGCTCAATGTCTGTCACTGCTAGACTGTAAGCAACTTGGGTTTAGGACCATGTCTATTTTGCACACTGATGTATAGCTGATGCCAAGCACAATTCTTGGCACACAGTAGCTAGTCAAAAAATATTTGTTGAATAAATGAATCACCTTCCTTCTCAACATAATAAATTGTTCTGGAAAATTAAAAGAAACTCCTCTGGCTAGAATGCCAAGAAGCAGATATGCTACCTGCATTCTTGATGTCTTTCTATTCCTGCCTGTGGGGAGCCTTACAGTTAAGAGTAAACTGAATGAATCTATTTCTTGCAACCCAAAAATCCCAAAGAAAATAAATGCTCAGCTCCAGCTGACAGTCTCCTTAACGTCCCTGCTCTTGCTCAAGTTTTATTTCCTGTCTGCAACGGTCCTGTCTTCTCTAATCTCCAAACCCTACTCGATATTAGCACAATTCAAACTTTACTTTCTTCCTGAAGTCTTCCCTCATCCCTCCAGTCTCAACTGGATTTCTCCCTTGTCTGAGCACCTGTTGTATTTGTCGTCTTTTGCATTCATAGCAGCATCCAAGATTATACTTTTTTGAATATTAATTGCATGAATATCAATTGTGTGATGTAGGCTTTAAAAAGTCTCCTCCCGGGGCCGGCCCGGTGGCGCAAGTGGTTAAGTGCACACGCTCTGCTGCCGCGGCCCGGGGTTCGCTGGTTTGGATCCCGGGCGCGCACTGATGCACTGCTTGGCAAGCCATGCTGTGGCGGCATCCCATATAAAGTGGAGAAAGATGGGCACGGATATTAGCCCAGGGCCAGTCTTCCTCAGCAAAAAAAAAAGGAGGATTGGCAGATGTTAGCACAGGACTGATCTTCCTCACAAAAAAAAAAAGAGTCTCTTCCTATGAGGTTATTGGCTACCTAGAGATAATGATTCTCTCATACAATTTGGAACAATAGAAGTCCTCTAATCTGAAGCAATTGAGACTGGTGTCTGGTGTGTTAGGCAAAAGAGCTGGTCAAAGTGGAGATCCATAAAAAATATCTGAAACATTTTAATTAAAATATATAAATTTATATCCATCTGTTCATTTCTGATGCGAAGTTAAGCCTTCTCTATGAGAGTGATTTTAATAATTGAGTGCCCATACTCACAACGCATCAGTTTCTGTTTCATTCAAGTGGAATAAGCAGATGACACTTGGGAAATACAGGTGTAGAATCCTCTGAGATTTTTATGATTTTCCTTCAGTGTTTTATGGTTTTGCTCACACCTAACTTGACAGCAATTTTTTAAAAAGTGACTGGCAGTTTTTAAAAAGTGACTGGCATTCATTGAGTCTTTTCTAAGCATTCAACTAATTTTCACAGAAACAGCTCCTGTCACACTTAAACCTTATCAGTTTATATAATACCTAATCAAATCACAGAATTGTAACAACAGGATTAAACAGGTTTCTGAAGAGATACAACAGATTCTTGGTAACATTAACTTGTGGCAGCAGATGCCCTCAGGCATAACTAATAATCCCACTGGCTCCAAGCAGTCATAGTGACCTGCGCATTATTCACGGTTTACAGAGAGAATGGTGAGTGTTGTTTAAACACTGGTGAAGAGTGATTAAAAGACAGTCAAGGCTTCTTTTGTTCCTTTATAACATCTAGCACAGACATGAGTCTATGATCTGCCAGAAAGAGAGAAGAACTATAAAGGGGTATATAAGGTGAATGGGAAACATCCTATAGAGATTACCATCTGTCACAAGAGTCTCAAGGGCTCTGGATTTTGGGGGCTTAGCACTCCTGAGAATTGAGAAATAAAAGTGTCTGCATTCTGAAAACTATAATAGCATTTCAGAAGACAGTAAAACTGAACTTACCTGGGACCTGACTGTCTGTGATTTATCATTCATTTCCTTCTCCTCCATGTTCCCCTCCTGGGAAAGTACAGCATTCTGAGAAGGCATAAATGGGAAAAAGAGAAAAGAAACATCTTGTCAATACATGATATTAAGGCTGAACGTAAACCTTAAAGCTTTTCCTTTGTGTTGGGATGGCACACAATTTATAGAGAATCCCTCTAAGATATAAGCTTAAAGGCTGGATGACTTAACTGTGACATTCTTGTTCCTCTAATACACTGAGGAATTCAGTGCAGGCCTTTCTTCTGTGGTACAACTCCACTTGTGGCATATGGGAAGCTCAAGAGAGCTCAGGGGTTTTCAGCCTTAGCTACACATTTGGGGAATTTAAAAAAGATGCCAATGCTCAGCCCCAAATCCCAGAGATTTGGATTTAATTGGTCTGGTGTGGGCCTGGGCAACAGCATTTTAAATCCTAAAGTCTCCAAGTGATTTTAAGTGGGAGATGAGAACCACTGAGATGAGGTGATTCAGAGGACATACGTTGAGGGCCTATTCTTACTCTTTAAGGAGATAAATTCATCCCAAACTCAAACTCCAGAGGTCTTCTCTCCTCTACTCTCTCCAAGATGATCCTTCTGATATACAAAGGAGATTTCATTCTTCTCACTTTTCAGAATGTTCACCTTCCTTTTTGAGTACCTGAATTCAGTTTTCCACCATGATTACTACACCTCTTCGCAGTTCTTAAGTTGTAATGTCATCAAAGCTTTGTTCTCTTCTAGCGTGACAGTCAGGAGATGCAGCAGTACTAACAGCTCCAATGTCCTTGTCAGTCCCTGAAAGCTAATTTTCCAGTGCCTTATAGGGAACAGCCACTCCCAGGTATTAAAGGTGCCTCATCTCTGATGAGAGCCTCAAGAGCCAATGGATATCCGCAAGAATGATTTCTGCTTCCCAGAGACAAACACTCTCAGAATCTTGCTTTGCTCATGCAGGGTTGAGACGTGGGGGCTCCTGAAAGGGGCTATTACTTTTTTTTTTCCCCCTAAAGGCATCAAACCTTCACGTACAGACTTCACTATGATATTCAAATCTGTCTCCTGGCAGATATCTTTATAAGATACAATTTCATGTTGAGCACCTGTAATAAGATGCACCAGTCAGCAGAAGAAATCCAGCAGTCTCAGTTACCTAGGGACCTACAGAGTCTGTAAAGAGACATACAAACTATTCATTCACAAAGATAGAGCACAGTAGGGTGTGCAATTTTTTAAAACAATCAAAGAGCATTTTTACAATTTTTTAGATTCACACATTACAAAAAGCAGAGACGTATACAGATGCATCAACCACAACGAACTTAGCCCCTGTCCTTTCCCACCCTCCTCTCAGAATAGAAAACACGTGGTCCTTGCCTAGTGAAAGACTTTCAGAAAGACTTTTCCTCTTTCTGAAGGAAAAACAGGCCTTTCACCAGCACCAACGAGACCGAAATGTATTGATTTGCTCACAATCATGAAAGAATACATTGTTTTTCTGTTAACAAAGGTTGACCTGCAAAACTTCTCTCAAAAGCTAGTGATGGAGGGGCTGGCCTGGTGGCGCAGTGGTTGGCTTCGCATGCTCCACTTTGGCAGTCCAGGGTTTGCAGGTTCGGATCCCAGGCGTGGACCTATGCACTGCTTGTCAAGCCATGCTGTGGCAGAATCTCATATACAAAATAGAGGCTGGCACAGGTGTTAGCTCAGTGACGATCTTCCTCAGCAAAAAGAGGAAGACTGGCAACAGATGTTAGCTCAGGGGCAATCTTCCTCACCAAAAAAAAAAAACAAAACACCTAATGATGGAAATAAAGAACAAAGCTATTTCTGAGAAGCAATTTTTTTTAAAGAGAGAAAAGTGCAGGTCCAGTGGAATGGCCCTATTAGATAAGGAAGCCATTCACTGCCCGACATGGCACAAATCCAACATTTTACAACCAGTTTACTAAGAGGCAGACCTCTCAGGAGTAATTTAAAAGCACTTTAAGAACCAAGTCCTTATCTCACCAAGCTAAAGCTCTGAAAAGGTCCTACTGTCTGAAGAGCCAGTCAGAATCTGTGAGAATGCTCTGAGGTTTCAAACCCAATCACCTCAACAATATTTATTCACAACAACAAAAATCGTATTTACCAAGTTAGGCAGAACAGGGTTTCTCCTTCATATGTGCAAACTGAAAGGGACTCCAGAGATCACCTAGTTGAGGTTTTCCTAAAGTGTGCTAAGTAACATCTTACTGTCTGTTACTCACAAAAAGGGATCAAATCAAGTTTGGAAAATGCTGGCTTCAACAAAGTTAAAAAGGTTTCTTTGTTGCCAGTCTTCTCAGAGACTTTCATATGGTAATGTACATTGTGAATCCCAGAAAAACCCCAAAGGGATGAGGAGCAGTCAAATTATTATATATTGTATGCAACGTTTCCCAAATATTGTTTTTTTGTGAGGAAGATCAGCTCTGAGCTAACCACTGACGATAATCCTCTTTTTTTTTTTTTCTGCTGAGGAAGACTGGCCCTGAGCTAACACCCGCGCCCACCTTCCTCTACTTTATATGGAACGCTGCCACAGCATGACTTGACAAGCGGTGTGTCGGTGTGCGCCTGGGATCTAAACCTGTGAACCCCGGGCCACCAAAGCGGAGCGTGTGCACTTAACCACTAGTGCCACCGGGCAGGCCCCCAAATAGTGTTAATTTGAGAATTTTTTTATGGCAACTGATGGCGCCAGGGTTCCACAGAACACACCTTTGGAAACACTGATTTAGTTCTCAGTTCCTTGGTTAATGAAGAAGTCTGAAGCTGAAGATCACAGAGCTAAGCGAAAGAGCTGGTTCTAGAACCTAGGTCTCCTGAATCACAGTCCTGGGCTCCTTCTAGTATACTCTAAAGTCCTTCTTAGAACTTGTTCTCTTCCTTTTCCTTGTCTCATTTCATCCTTTTCTTCTTACAATTTCCCTTTTAATTCCCATATTGTAAAGAACACAAAAAGAAAGCCACTCCCCACCACCAAACCTGTAATTCTTCATACAATACACACGTAGACCTTTCCAGAGAAATCTGTGGGACTGCCACAGTCTTTCTCAAAAAAGTAACTATGATGGCCTGGAAAGTAACCAATTCCTTTGACTGCCTAAGGAATACTAGAATTACAATCAACTCAGATGGAGAATGACTCTGGGCTTAACAGTTTACCTGAAGTTCCTCCAAAAATCTGAGTGAACTTCACTGACCGTGTAGAAAACCCATGTAGTGGTTCTCAATCTGGGCTGTGCATCAGACACAGCCCAGATTTTAAAATATAGAGATGTAAATACATGCATGTCCAGGCTCCACCAAAATGCTACTAAATCAGAATCTGCTGTGGTTAAGTCTGGCATCTATATACTTTTTAGATGCCCCACAAATGATTTCTGATGCAAGCAAGAGTTCAGAACAACTATCAGAGCCTTTCATTTCCTTAACCCCAATAATTTTCACCATCAGTCGAGTTCTGTCACCCACTTCAAGGGCCACACCACTTCTGAAACCTTTCTTACCTTACAAAACACTAGACTGTGAATCAGGAGGCCTAGGTTCTAGACTGGATGGGGAAGATGGTGAAGACAGGAGCGGCTTAGTAGATGGGGGAAAATAGAAAAAAGAGCAGTGTTTGTCAAAGCGTAGTCTGAAGATCACTTGAATCACAGTACTTGTTGAAAGGAAGATTCACTAGTCCTATCCCAGACCTAGTGAAATAGCACCTTCTAGGGTATTATTGGCCCTGGAATTTGCATTATAAGGTGTTTCCTCCTTGGAATCAGTCCATTTTTCCCAGCATCCCTACAGGCCTGAATGTAGCATGTATCTTCTCATTCCTATTTCTTTATCTTTCACTTTTCTTGACTCCTTCCTATCATCATTTAAAATAATTTAATGTGGCGCAGGCCCGGTGGTGTAGCGGTTAAGTTTGCGAGCTCTGCTTCGGCAGCCTGGGGTTCACAGTTGGGATCCCGGGCCCGGACCAATGCACCACTTGTCAAGCCATGCTGTGGTGGTGTCCCATATAAAGTAGAGGAAGATGGGCACGGATGTTAGCCCAGGGCCAATCTTCCTGCAAAAAGAGGAGGATTGGCAACAGATGTTAGCTCAGGGCTGATCTTCCTCACAAGAAAGAAAAAAAAGATACAAACCTGATCATGTCAGTCCCTCACTTGAAATTCTTCAGCGGCCTCCTACTGCTCTTAGGCTGGAGTACAAAGCCATAGAGACTCCTATGATCTGCTTCCTGACCTCTTAAGCCACTCTCCTGTTTGCTTCTGAGGCTTCATCCACACTATCCTGCTTTTAGGTGCTTAAATGTGCCATGTGTGGTACTGTACCCACCTCGCTCCTCTCCCCGGACAATACCTACTTTTCCGTCAGGTCTCAGCTTAAATCAAGGAAGATTTTCACATCAGAGACCAAGTGAGGTCCCTCTTTACACCTTCCTTTTTTAGGTAGCACTTTTTGTCGTTTTAATTATTTGTAGTGTCATCCACTTTTATTCATACCTCACCCCTGTGTGACATTAACCTCCATGAAGGCAGGAAACTGTTCTGTCTTGTTTACCATTCTATATTCAAGGCCCAGTGTGTGGCTCATAGTAGGTACTCAATAAATATTTGCTAAATGAGTAAATTCAAGTGTTCTGGTGTTTGCTCTTCTATTTTTTAACTTTTTATTTTGAACCAATTTTAGACTTAAAGTTGCAAAAGTAGTACCGAGTTCCCATATACCATTCACCCTGCTTGTCCTAATGGGAACATTTTACATAACCATGATACAATGATTAAAACCAGGAATTTAACACTGGTACAATGCTATTAACTCAAATTATTCAAATTTCACCAGTTTGTCCACTAACGTTCTTCTTCTGGTCCAGGATCCCACATTACATTTAGTTGTTGTTTTCCTTAGTCTCCTCCAATCTGTTCCTCAGGCTTTCTGGCATTCATGAGCTTTCAAGAGTAGTGATGAGTTATTTTGTAGAATTTTGCCCCTCAGTTTGGGTTTGTCTGATGTTTTCTCACGATTGGAATAAAGTTAAGTATTTTTGGCAAGAATACCTCAGAAGTGATCTTGTGTCTTTCTTAGTGCATCAGATTAATGGGCTTATGATGTCAATATGTCTTATTAATGGTAACATTAACTTTTATCACTTGGTTAAGGTGGTGTCTACCAGGTTTCTCCACGGTAAAGTTATTATCTTTCTCTTTGTAGTTAATAAATATCTTGGGGGAGATACTTCAAGACTATGCAAATATCCTGATTCTTCTCAAACTCACTAATTTTAGCATCCATCAGTGTATCTTGCCTGCAGCAATTATTAACATAGTGTTTGTCCAATGGTGATTTTTCTATTTCCCTCTTTCCTAATAATTTATTAATTGGAACTTTTCTATAACAAAAAGCTGCTCCTTATCTCTTATTCATTTATTTATTAGCTTATTTACTTATATCTGTATGGACTCATGGTATTTATTTTACTCTAGAAGTTAAAGTCTAACACTATCATTATTTTATTGCACAAATTGTTCCAGCTTTGGCCATTGGCTGCTCCTGTGTTATTTCAACTAGCCTCTATCCTATTTTGAGTACCTCCTCACTTCCTGACAACATAAGATGCTCCAGGCTCTAGTATTTTCCCTGTCCAGCCCTGGAATCAACCACTTCTCCAAGGAACCCTGGTTCTTTTTATTGGAGAAGTGTTTAGAAATAAAGATCTGGGCGCTAGGTGTGCTAACTGCTATTGGGGTATCATTGCTTCTAGGTCCTCTCAGCGACAGAGCTAGGAAATATACATATGTATGCATATTAACCACACATATACAGTCATGCGCTGCATAACGATGTGTAGGTCAGTGATGGACTGCATATACGATGGTGGTCTCATAAGATTAGTACCTTGCAGCCTAGGTGTGTAGTAGGATACACCATCCAGGTTTGTGTAAGTACACTCTATGATGTTTGCACAACAGCAAAATAGCCTAATGATGTGTTTCTCAGAATGTATCCCTGTTGTTAAGTGACACATGACTATACATACTTCTACTGTGTCTATGTATTAAATACCATGAGTTCATACTGACACCTCTGATCCCAATCCGATATCACAGGGTTCATTTTAATCTTCTCCCTTTCCTTACTGGTAACTTCTTTCTTCAACAGTGAAAAATTATTGGCTCTCATTATCTACAACATATTTACTTATTTGTTCAATTTTGGTGTATACATAGGGTAGTTTCAGAATTGCTAACTCACACCCCTGTGAGAAACACATTTACTAACTTGATTATAGCATTTATGTAGAGTTCTCTTTGTCTTTAGCCTTATAGCATCCAGTCAAGATAGTGTTTCCTAAAATTATTTAGGATAGTTCTTTTCTTCGCCACTTCCTTCAGTGTGGTTATGTCATTCATTTTAATACAGTTAGGTCCCTTTGTTAGTGTCTATATTCATTCTCTTCTATTTTTATTCTATTTACTCTCAGGTAGCTTCACCCATTGCCATGGCTTCACTGATCATCTTTTCTGAGCTACATAACCAGATACATACCCAACCGCCTTACTGGACAACTCCATGTAGATGTCTCTCAGATTTCTCAAGCCTAACATGTCCAAAACTCATTTTCCCTTAAGTCTCTTGCCATACATTTGCCATTGAGTAAAGTATATCAGAACACTGGCTGTATAGCCAAACTGACTGGGTTTGATTCCCAGCTCTACAACTTACTAACCATGTGAGTTTGGCTGAGTAAGTTACTCAACTTCTCTATGCTTCAATTTCCTCATCTGTGAGAGTAGTACCTACACCTACCTCATGGGTTTGTTGCGAGGATTAAGGAAGTGAATATTTGTAAATATTTAGAACATAATAGCACATAGTTAGCAATATTTATATATGTTACATATTATTCTTACTCTCCTATTATATTCTCCATCTCAATGAATAGCACTACCAAGCCTGAAACCTGAATGCCCTCACTGACCTCTTTCTTTCCCTTAGTCTCTCTAACCAATCAAATGTCAAAACCTGGTAAATTCACCCCATTAAGTATCTAGTGAATGTTTCATCTTCACTTCCACTACTTGGGTCAGGCCACTATCATCTCTCACGTTGATTACTGCCATGCCTGTCTAACTGGTCCTTGACTTTAGTCCAATATTTTCTTCACACTGCAGCCAGAGTGATCCTTCTCCACACCCCTTTTCCACTGTGGACACTTTCATTTTATTTTCTGACAAATATTAAAACAAAAATTTTAGTAAATATAGAAAGGCATAAAGAAAGCCCAGAGATAACTAGTTCCTTTTTTGGGGGATATATCCTTTCAGGCTTTCCTATGCATACATACACACAATAACATGGCATATGTCGTTATTATATACGTAATTTTATTTTTTGAAACGTGTATTTTTATTGACAATATTGGGTATATCACTTCATGACAGAAAACAAAAATCTAAATATTCACTTCAAAAAACAGATTCAGGGGATGGCCTGGTGGCTTAGCAGTTAAGTGCGCGTGCTCTGCTACTGGCGGCCTGGGTTCTGATCCTGGGCTCGCACCAACGCACTGCTTCTCCAGCCATGCTGAGGCTGCGTCCCACATACAGCAACTAGAAGGACGTGCAACTATGACATACAACTATCTACTGGGGCTTTGGGGAAAAAAAAGGAGGAGGATTGGCAATAGATGTTAGCTCAGAGCCGGTCTTCCTCAGCAAAAAGAGGAGGATTAGCACGGATGTTAGCTCAGGGCTGATCTTCCTCACAAAAAAAAAAAAAAAAGATTCATAGTATATTCCATTACATGCAATACCTCAAATTTATTTAACAAGTTCATTATTAATAGATATTTAGGTTGTTTTCTTTCTTTTTTTTTTTTGCTGTTACAGACAACAGCAAACACTGCACAGTTTTGGCATAATTCTGTCCGATTATTTCCTTAGGATAAATTCCTAGAAGTAGAAATGCTGGGTCAAAGAGAAGGCAAAATCTCTTCAGGGAGGTTGTATCAATTTACATATTCATCAACAATACATGAGAGTGATCATTAGCCACTGTTAGGCATTATTCTTTTTAAATCTAATACAGAGAAAGTATTTACTTGCTGCTTTAGTATGCAATTCTTAGATAACACGTGAGGCAGAACTTTTTATATTTTTAGCTTTTATACTTTTTGTTATAAATTACCCTTTCATATCATTTGCCCATTTTTCTACTGTATTGTCTTTTTCTTATTGATCTCTAAGAGTTTTCTATTACTGAGTACAGTGTGCAGTAAAGGACTAACTGAGCATGTCTAGATGGTCCAAACTTTGCACATTCCATGGAAAGGTTTGACCCTAGCCTGGCTACTGGGAGATAACCTATAAGCCCTTGGAATGTCCTGCCTTTTAAGAGCGTCTCTGTTTACCTGAGGCCTTGGGCCAGGTCAGAAAATTTATGCTAACAATGGGATTTATGGTGGGAATCTTGGACCACAGTATCAACTTGCCAACTATGGAGGGGCTGGAGACTGAAGGTCAGCAACTTGGGTGGTCAGTCATGCCTACATGACCAACTTCCAATAACAACTGGACACCAAGGCTTGGATGAGCTTCCCTGGTTGGGGATATTGCATACATATTGTCACACATCATTGCTGGGAGAATTAAGCACTACCTGCACAACTCCATTAGAGAGGACAACTGGAAGCTTGTACCTGGTCTCTCCTAGATCCTGCCCTAGGTGCTTTTATTTCTGTTGCTGATTTTAATCTGTATCCTTTCACTGTTAATACTCATGTTACTGTGAGTATAGCAGTTTTTGCTGAGTTCTGTAAGTTCTTCTAGCAAATCTTTGAACTTGAGGGTGGTCCTGGGGACCTGTGAACACAGATAGTAACTAGCAAATTCCTTGTCATAACATAAATACACAAATATAGTCTCCATTTCATCATTTGTCTTTGATTTTTGCTACTTTAAAAAAAGAGTTAATTAAAAAATTTTCTGCATTATAATATCTGGGGTTTTCTTCCCCCTGCATGGGTCCTAAGTGTGTGTAAGGGTTTTGTTTTGTTTTTTTTTCCTTATACAAGTTATACATCTTAAGTTTTTTAGACAAGTTCTACATAAAAACACGAGCACACAAAACATAGGAGTATACAGAGAAAAATGTGAGTGCCCTTCAATGCCTCTTTTACCCCACTTCCCTCCCTCGAGGTAACTCACTGACAGTCACTTGGTGTGTATCCTTTTCTGTGCATTTATGAACATATATAATGTAACCACATACATATTTAACATAATGCACATCACACTACGTGCATTGTTCTGCAACATCTTTTATTCACTAAATGTCTTAAGAGATCTTTCTCTGTCTCAACTTCATAAAAAACTACCTTATTCTAGTTTATAGCAGCACAGTATTCCACTGTATGGATCTACCATAGTATACTCAATCATATCCCTAGGGAACATTTAAGCTGTACACATTTCTCACAACTGCAAACAATACTGCAATAAACATCTTTGTACATACATCCCTCCATACCTGAGCAAGTATTTCTGTAGGACAGATACTAGAATAGAACTTCTGATCCACAGAGTGAGCTCATTAAACATTTTGGTAGGCATAGTCAAAGTGCCACTCAAGATGTCTTCCTGGTCAATTTTACAACCAGTGCCCTTCCTCACTTTCTTCAACACTTTATATTATCAATATTTTTATATTTTGCCAGTCTAACGGGTAAAAACTATCTTCGTCTTCGTTTGCATTCTGTGGTTACTTATGAGGTTAAGCATTTTTTAAACTGGTTATCTGTATTTCTTCTATAAATTTCCTGTGCATAGCCTCTGCCCATTTTTCTTTTTTGTGGTTAGCAGAGGCTCTTCACATATTATGCACATTAATCTTTTATGTCTTACACATGCAATATTGTGCAAATATTTTCATGGCTCTTATTTTTAGGCCTTTGTTCTTCTCACACCCAGAAATTTAAAATTTTGATATATTCTAATTAATTTTTCCCAGAGGGTTTTGTGTCCTGTTGGAGTAGTTTGGAATGGCTAGAGCATAAAGTGTATGGGTGGAAGGCAAAGGAGTATGCAATATTAAGATCATAAAGGGCTTCAAGAGCACTGCTAAGAAACTAGAACATTATCTTGATGGCTACAGGGAATCATGTAACAAGTTTTCAATAGAATGATTTTCAACAAACACTCCTTATTTAATAACTATCTACTGAACATCTACTAAGTGCTATGATCAAATCTGTCTCTTAGAAAATTATAATTTTTGAAGCTTTTACATTTCTCACAGTTTAAAATACGTTAAAAGAAATAGATCATTTTGTCAAAAGACATAATTAAGATGGATTTGCTCTGCCACATATTAAAACACATTTTACATTAAAACAAAAAGGTATCAGTGCAGAAACTGTCAGAGCAGTGAAAGAAACAGTCTAGAAACAGACTGGCGTATGCACACGCCTGCAGAATATAATAAAAGTGTCACTTCAATTCCGTGCGAAAATAATTCAATACACGACGGCAAGACAACTGGGGAAAAGGCATATTCCTATCTAACACGTTACAAAATGAACACCCGATAAAATACAGGTAAAAATGTAAAAATAAAAAAGAAGATATTTTTAAACTCCTTTAAGAGTATGAGAAGAAAATAAAGGTTAATGTTTTAATAAACTTGAGATGGAGAAAAACTTTCCAAAAAATGATACCCACTCACGCCTACATAAAAATAATGTGCAGAAGATACGAGAGGAAAATACGTTTCTCATCTTGGGAGACGGGGCCCTCCAGAAGGGACAGAGGCTCTCCGGGAGGGCGGAGGGCGCTGCTGGGAGTCTGCAGGTCGAGCGCAGCGCGGCTTCCGCGACCCGGCCGCCCTCGGCCGCCGCCCGCCCTCCCCGTCGCCTGCCGCCCGGCCCGCGGCGCGCGGCACTCACCAGCCTCCACAGGCGAAGGCCGCTCGGACGGCTCCGCCCCTTGACGCCGCCACAGCCGCCCGTCCGGACCGAAGCGGGAGAGGGTGAAGAGGGCCCTGATGCCTGAGCCAATGACGCCCAGCGACTGAGCCCTTGGGGCTGGACCAGCCGCCACCGCCAGGCGGACTCTGACGAAAGCCTTCCCGTAATGGCGACCGTGCTGCGGTGGCTTCGGATGCCCAATACGCATGCGCTGGAGGCGCCTTGGGCTGACCGCTTCCCACACGCCGAGTTGGGAACTTGCACCCGCGCCCTCAGGTCTGCTTTTCACCAGGGCCGCGCTAACCCGGGAGCCCCCGACCCCGCCCCGCGGCCCGCACAGAATTTCGCGTTAAGAGAGGGCCGAGGAGGCCGAGCCCAGGACGCTGCCATAGCGCCTGCCAATCGGAAACGTTGGACTGCCAGGCTCCCGCGCGGTGACGCTGCTCCGTCGCTGATGCGACGACACAAACCATCAGTCTCTTCAGTCCTGGAATACGCCTTCCACCGCACCCCCCCCAATTTTATATTGCTGAAACTCAAAATATGATAATAATGATTGAATACCAGTTTTTTTTTTTTTTTCATTTTTGGTAATAGAAGTCTACTGCTGAGAAGAATAGAATTCTTTTAAGGGGGATAGTATTTTGCTTAAGTGGGATTCATAGTGTTCATCACCGAAACCGATTGCAAAGGTTCATATTTTAATGCTACTTTATAATGAGATTTTACATATGTCGTCTTCGAAAACTTTTTAAATAGATAGGTACTGCCAAATACTGATATCCACAAGTATATGATTTATTTATTTTCTTTAAAAAAATTTTTAAAATTATATATATTTTTTTATTTCATTGCGGTCACATTGGTTTATAACATTGTATAAATTTCAGGTGTACATCATTATACTTCTAGTTCTGCGTAGATTACATCATGTTCACCACCCAAATACTAATTACAATCCATCACCACACACATGTGCCTAATCATCCCTTTCGCCCTCCTCCCCCCTTCCCCTCTGGTAACCACCAATCACAAGTATATGATTTAAATTGAGCATATTCATTGCTTTGAAGTTGTTTATAGAATTCTATTATAGTCTTCTCTTGATAGTCGCCTTTTAGCGTGTCATTAAGTGTTAGATGAATCACTTCTAAATGAAGGGTAGGTGGAAGCCCCTCAATCGCACTGTTAAATGGGTGTTGAAATACGGAAATGTCCTTTGCACTTGCATAGAGGTCTGAAAATGCTACTGGAACAATAGTTCGAGCTTGGAAAGCATATCCACTGCTAATTTTGTGTTGAGACAGGGATCTCACTTCTTGTTTTGACCTTTGAGAGCCCTGGAAGTGTATAAAGCAGCTTGACATTACTTCTGATTCAAATACTGTTGGTTGTCATCAAAATGACTTTACTGCAGTACAAGTTATATATTATCAGCTCTGTTTTGCCTTGTAATTTTAGGTTGGACTCGTTAAGAAACATTATCAAGTTTTCAGCAAAAGCTAATTTCCAAAGCCATTCAGTGTTTGATAAGTGGTTGAGGGCAATTCTCATTTAGAGAAATTTCAGTCTCAGCCTTGGGGTCACATCTTAATAAACTTTACCACTTTCAAGGCATCGAATTGCTGTGTGGTAGGGCCAGTCAGGATATTTAATTTCTATTTTTGACAAAAACTCATGAAACTAACAATGGTTAAGTCCATGAGAGCAAATAAAAAGTTCATCGTTGGCACTACTGGTACAATAACCCATGGTAGATTCTAGATTCAAATATTTTCCACAAAGTACCTGCTTAGCAAATTCCACTTGAGGTTGTACTGTTTGGGGTTTTCTCAACTTCTTTGAAAATATTCTGTCATGAGGTTGTTCTGTGCAGGCTATTCATAAAACCTGATTCTTCAGTCACTTCAAAATTGGCATTGACTCCTGAATAAACAAACAACAACTGAACAGTATCTGTAACATATGTTGACTCATCAAGAGCCAAGCAAACTTACTTTGGGTACAGCCTTATTTTCATTTTTTATCTTTGTGAAGAAATTCTGGTGTGATGAGATATTCCGTTTCGAATTTTCTAATTTTTCTGACTGTTGCTTTCTGACACAGTTATCCTGGTAATATCTGGCCTGTATTCAGCTTGCTTGTAGTATCCGAAGTGAGTAAATGGTTTGGCAGGTTCCTTGTAGGTTACAATGAACACACTCGTAGTTCTGTAAGACAAAAATCCAGATATAGTGTCATTCAGCTGGGTCCTCTGTTTAGAGTCTTGCAAGGCCAAAGTTAAGATGTCAGCAGAGCTATGTTCCATTCTGGAGGCTCTGGGGATGACTTCAATTTCAGTCTCATTCAGGTTGCTGGCTGAATGAGTTAGTTCCTTGTGGTTGTAGGACTGAGGTCCCCCATTCCTGGCTGCTGGTCACCAGGAGCCAGTCTTTGCTCCTAGAAGCTGCCCATATTCCTTCTCCTGCTTTCCATGGGGCTCCTTTCAAGCAATGGCAGGTTGAGTCCCTTTCATGCTTTGAATCTCTCTACTGCCTCTTCTACTGCATTTCACTGAGGTAGTGCTGGTGTTTTGAAAACACCATGGCAACTCATGGTTTATAAAGGACAATAGGGTAGAGACTCAGCTTTTTGATTAGACGTCTCATGCCAAAGTAGGAACGAAAGAATGGACTGCAGGTTACTTGCAGCAGTGAGTACCTACAAAAATTGTGAATGGGAGTAGGGAGGTTTAAAATCGAGAGTTAAAACGTTTTGTTATTTTTCATTCTGAAATCCTGGGGTCTCTTGTTTTATTTCTATTAAGGTGCAAGTTCTTTAGAGGCAGGGGCTGTTCCTTGTTACTGATGTCTCCTACAGAGCCAGGAATAGTGGAGTCAGCCTCAGTAGGTGATTGTAGAAGGAATGAATCAAAAAAGGTGCAGTTATTAAGGTCCTGGATATAGTGTCCTAATGTCTTAAAAGCAAAAAACAAAAACAAGAACCAGTAACCAAAATAATAAATAGTTACAACTTGGTGTCATCAACTGGCACAAGGAAACTGTGAGAGTGGGTATCTGAAAAGATGAGACGCCATCCTATAGAATGTTATTCTTCAATAAAAAACAATAAAGTACTGATACATGCTACCACAAGGAACCTTGAAAAGTTATGCTAGGTGAAAGAAGCCAATCACAAAAGGCCACATGTTGTAGGATTCCTTTTCTACGAAATGTCCAGAGTAGGCAAGTCCATAGAGACAGATTTGTGGTCACCAGGGTCTGGAGAGAGGGGGAAATGAGGAGTGACTGCTAATGGGTACAGGATTTCTTTTTGGCGTGATGAAAGTGTTCTAAAATTGATTGTCGTAGGGCCGGCCTGGTGGCTTAGCGGTTAAGTGCGGGCGCTCCACTACTGGCGGCCCGGGTTTGGATCCCGGGCGCGCACCGACGCACCGCTTCTCCGGCCATGCTGAGGCTGCGTCCCACAGACAGCAACTAGAAGGACGTGCAGCTATGACATACGACTATCTACTGGGGCTTTGGGGGAAAAAATAAATAAATAAAAATTTAAAAATAAATAAATAAATAAAATTGATTGTGGTGGTTATTAAATGAATATACAAAAATCTTGATTTGTACACCTTAAATGGGTGAATTGTATGGTATATGAATTATGTCTCAATAAGGCTATTTCTATTTAAAAACAGAAAACAAGTATTGAGTTCACTAATATGGGAGCACAGGACATGACAGAATAGGGAAGAGCAGAATCATATTAAATAAAGCGGCAGCCAGAACATTTTGAGGAACACATTTTGAGAGTTCTTTTTTGAAAAGGACAGCCCAGGGGCTCACCTGTCCCAGGTGAAAGAAAAGGTCTTTTAGACTTGATCTTCATAGAAGGAAATTTTAGACAGACGTGAGAATTTCTAAGATTTCCACTGTTTTCAAGTTCACACCCAGCAGTCAAGAATGTCTGGAATCTTCCCAGTCTCCATCTTTGAGGATGTTCCAGCAAGTCAGGGCAGACCTGTGATGGCTGCTACGAGGGTTCAAACATCTGAAGGATGGTTAAATAAAGTAACCTCTGAAGTTTATTCCAGACATGAGAAGTCAATGAATTAATAAAATCACCTGGAAGACCCTTAAAATTAAACTGTGTCCCTGGGCCCAACCAAGTAACTATCTTTAAAATAGTCATTCGGGTAGGAAACTGAATAGTTTCTAAAGTTACTCCATATGAATCCTAAGGTGAGGTACAGAGGTGGCCCAAGAAGCTCCTTTCTACACATCCAAAATGAGTCTCCCTTCCATATCATTCAGACCAGTAGGTCCTCCAGTAAGAAATAGGAACAGTGAACGCTTGAAGTTCCTTGAGTGAGTGAAATCCCATGGAAGTCAAAATACAATTCGCTTTGGCTTTTATCAAAAAGTATCACGTCAATTTTGCAGGGAGCCTTTAGAAAATCGATTTAGAAAAAGGGCACAAGGTGTTTAGAAACAGGTACTTGGCATCCTCCAGATTAGCTTAGTCCAACAGAAATGTAATGTGAACCATGTACGTAATTTAAAGTTCTCCAGTGGCCACAGTAAAAAAATAAGAAGAAGCAGGTGGAATTTATTTTGATAATATATTTTATTTAACCCAATATATCGAAAATATTGTCACTTCACCATATAATCAATGTAAAAATTATTGATTAGATATTATACTTTTTTATGTACTAAGCCTTTGAAATCAGTGTACATTTTGTATTTACAGCATATTTCAATTCGGATTAGTTACATTTCGAGTGTTCAGTAGCCACATATGACTTGTGGTTACTGTATTGGGGCCATAGGTCTAGATGGACAAATTGAAACAGGGTGTTTCCCAGGAATCATTCTGTCAGAGTCCCTTCTTTTCTAAGCTCTCTAGTCATACTGAGCTACTCCAGGGCCTCTGAAAGACTCATGGTCTTGTCTTGCCTCCATGCTTTCCTACCTTTTCTTCCCTCCACCTGGAACCTTCATCTCACCTCCTTGTGTCATCCTTTAAATGTGCTGTTGAATTCAGTTTGCTAGTATTTTGTGGAGAATTTTTGCATCTGTATTCATTAGGGATATTGGCCTATAGTTTTCTTTTCTTGTAGTGTCCTTTTCTGGCTTTGGTATCATAGTAATGCTGGCCTCATAAAATGAGTTTGGGAGTGTTCCCTTCTCTTCGAATTTTGGGAAGAGTTTGAGAGGGACTGGCGTCAATTCTTC